GAAAGTTACAAGTAAAACAACTTAACCGTCTTTGCACCTACTGTCTAAGAAAAAGGGAAAAAATAAACTGCCATAACACAGGTTAAATCCATTATTGTATAAAGATCAGAAACCCACAGCAGTAATCAATAGTCAAAATATAAAATGTTCAACAAGGACGAAGGCTTCAGCAGTTATACCTTTTTATTGTCGGAGAGAATGTTAGAATAAACTCCGAAAATCGCAACTGTATCATCATTTTGAAAATTTGGACTTCCATCTACATACAAACTCAGCCCACAGAAGCAGCCACATTAGTGTATTCATCGGAGCTGGATGTATCACCAAATAGACAATATTCTAGATGGCCATTCAATAATTTATGGTGTTCTTCAGAAATATTCACAGCTTTAAGGCGTTTATAAACCAATGTTTTACACGCCAGTTTGTCAGGCAATAATCCCAAACCCTTCATCTCAACTAATAAATGGCTGACCAGATAAAAGTTGTATGATGAACTATAAATGGCATTGCATAACCTAAAGAAATTATTCCAGCTAATTTCTATTCCCAAATCAATCATTTCTTGTAGCATCTGTTTCACTGATTCAAAATCTTTTTCTTTACAGAAACTGGAGAGCATTACATTGCACATATCCCCATTTGGATTTATACCAGCCTCCTTCATGTAGTTATACAAGTTATAAGCCTCTGTACCTCTACCAACCATAAGAAGCCCACGAATGGCAACAGAATATGATACAGCATCTAAAGAACTTTTCTCCAATAATTTTTTTCTGAATACTCTAATGGCTGAATGACATTTACCAGCTTTTATAAGTCCATTTATAATTACAGTGTGAATATGAGCATCAACTCCCGTATAGTTCAAGAGAATACCATTGTACAGATTAACTGCTTCATCAATTCTTTTTGCTTGACAAAGACCAGTTAGTACTCCAAGAACACTATACTTATCTGGCATTAAACCTTTGTCCAACATCTCATCATATAGTTCTAAGGCAAGCGAAGGAAATCCAGCCTTAGCGAGATAACTAAGCAGAGAGTTACATGCCACCAAGTCAACTTCTACAAAAAATCCATCAACTAACTTGGGTAGAAGGAAAACCCTTTTGGATAAACATATGGTATTCAACAATGAACTGAAGGTATAACAATCGGGCAGTATATTTTGTTTATCCATACTAAGGAAAATACAGAGAGCTTCATCGTATCTCCCAATCTTAGCAAGACCATCAATCAATACATTGTAAAGAACCCGGTCGGGGGGAAGCCCTTCCAATCTAATAATACTTAAAACATCAAATGCATCACTAACCAGTTGTGCATCCATATATCCCTTAATCAGAGTAGTATATGTCACAATGTTCGGAGAACAGCCAGATTTTTCCATCTTCTTCACTAAAGAAGAAGCATCAGAAGTTCTGTTCAATCGACGCAATCCATCAATCATTATAGTCCAAATGTTTACAGACATGGATATTCCAATAGTTGTCATAATACCCAAAACTTGATATGCTTCTACCAGCCTACCCAGTTTGCATAAATCATTCAAAACCACTTCAAATGTCCCAGGATTAGGAGAATACCCCATTCTCAACATACATCTAAAAGCATCTCTAATGCCTATCAAATCTCTTATTTTGGATAAATTACACAATACAATGTTAAATGTCAAGAAATTAGGTAACAAGGTCTCTTTAAAGACCTTCAAAGCAACATCAGCACGTCCAACCTTGAACAACACATCCATAATCACATTACGTGCAAACGTGTTTGGTGTAAATCCACAGCGATCCATATGGTCAAATGCTTCAAAAACCAACTCATACATTCCTCCACGCCAATATATCCTCAAAAGAAGCAAAAACGTTTGTGCCTTAGTCACAATGCCAACACTCTCCAATGCCCCAAGAATCCCACTAACAGTTTCATATCGTTCCATGAGACGGGAAACCACACCCACCATGTATTCAAACGCCGTGGTGTTGTGGAAGAAATTGGGCTGTTTAGCACACCACATGAAAAAGCTCAAAGTGACTAAATCAGAAGAACAAGTCAACAGAGTGGTGTGCACAAGCTCATTAGTGAGAATCACTTGCCTGTTCTCTGAAAATTTCTGCTCAATGTCTTCGTTTAGTTGGTTGTGGAGGTTTTTGGTTAAATTTATAAGTGAGGCCGAACATTTACGGTACGGCTGATGAGCAAATGTTCTGAGGATTTGACGAGATGCTATTCGGAAGATATTACAGCCATGTCTCCATATCATTGCCAAAGAAGTTCAACTTTCTTGAGTACCAACGCAACATGAGAAAACTGAGCTATGTTGATGGAAGCTCGAGAGCAGAAAAATTTACTCCTGCTTAGAATCCCTGAATTTCAAAAGATTTCAAATCAGACATATTTGGATGCAAAAAAAAAAAAAAAAAAAAAAAAAAAAAAAAAAAAAAAAAAAAAAAAAAAAAAAAAAAAAAAAAAAAAAAAAAA